CCTTTACTCAAGCCAGACAATGATTTTCAAAACCATCCACTACACACTTACTACAAATCAAGATGAAAAGGTCAAAAAAAAACCTAAAACGTTTAAATCATTGTCTGCATGTAAAAGTACCAAATGAGTGTTTTAGAGTGACATTCACTGACTCAATGTAACTCGTTCTCCTAACTTAATTGAATTAATAAATGACCCTCTGAAAGGTTACCAAATAGTTTTAAATAAAGGGAATACTTCTGTCTACTGTTGTACAGTAGCCTATTAATGACTTCCACTCTACTGGATATTTAAGTTTAAATCGTCTTTTAAAGTTTTAAAGTTGTGTTGGTCTGTCAATGTTTAGGATAAACTCATTTCGAGTAGGAAAGTATATCTTATGGCACACTGCAGATACTTTCGAGGAACTTCAACTCCGTCTATCAACTTTTTATCACAGAAGTAAAAGCATAGTTACAAGTTACCAAATGTAACGTGAGCTCAAACACTCAGATAACTTCTATGGCAGACATGCAGAAAACCACACAAACATCTGGATACACACTGCAGCTGTTAACTGACAATAACTCACTCAAGTTTGTTTAGAAATACAATTGTTTTGGTTTCACATTAAGGCTGAACACATTTAGTCTCCATATGTTTTTTTTGACAAACTTTTTTTTTTTAATGTTCAAAATGGTTCTGGACATGTCCTCCTTTTGGGGCGGCGCTCGCTGGCACTGAACCCGTTACATTTTGGTGAAAGAAAAGAAGGTCTGACTGACTTCTTGCTTTTACAGTAGCCTATACTGCATCAAAACGGCGTATTTTATCATTTACAGACATTCGTGACACTAAACGCGAACAAAGTTTCACTGAAATCCGAGTTTACCCGAAAGCTCCTCTTCCGACAACTTTGATTTTCTCATACTTCTCCATCGCTGCTGCTCCCAAACGTTTCCGTGGTCTCCAGGCAACCCGACCCAGTCCTACAGGAAGCAATGAGGGACAAATAGGACGAGGGGTAAAACCTCCTGCTTTTATGGCAGACTCACAAAAGTGAATTGTGTACTGTTTGTGGTGACTCTACGTTTGGTAATGTTTTCAGTAAGAGAGCAGAGACTCTGCTAGAGAGTAGAGAGTAAAAATATCCTGCTTTTAAATTATGTATTTCTTTCTCCTTCCTGTCTCCACCTGTTCCTCATTCTGGTTTAATGAATATGGTATTTTCTGTATTATCAGTTAGGCTATTGCTCTGTCTTGTTGGCTTTCTTTGTATATCTCTTAATTCAGATTTGAGTTGGGTATAAATAGTTATTTTATCAACAGAATACGTAATAGTGAAGAGTAACTTGAACTTATTTTGATACATTCTTTTTTTTACAAACAGCAATGTTGTTTGAAGTCACACCCAAACCCATATTATCTCCTTTCTAAAACCTAACTTTTACAAACAAAATAGCAACTTTTCCTTATCATTGTAATTGATTTTAGTACTACTGCAACAAGCAACATGTTGTTGTCTGCCAGGAAATAAAATGGATTTGGTAAAAATGTAAATGGAGACAGTGAAACATGTGTTATTAGTGCAGCATCTTGAGCAGGCACTCCAAATACTTTAGACCTCATCCAGACGCCTGATGATTATACAGCGCCATCCCCTTCTTCGTCTAAGATTAGCAGGAAGGAGGCTGCATATGAGCACTGTTTCCCCTCTTTGCCATGAGCGGGATAATAAATGCTTTGTGCTGCAACAAAGCCACTGCTGTGATGTGCTGAAGTATACCTCCACTATCATCATCAATGTGAAATAATGATACATCACTGCAAACAGTAATTGGACCCTTTCTCTACAATTTGCATTTTTTAAATGACATTTGGAGGAAGGGACAGGTGAGTTGTTGGTTTCACAAACAATAGTTTGCTTTTTCTCAGGGGTATAATGTCTCAACAAAGAAATACCTAAAGGAGCCTTGCAGTATTATGCCACTCCTCAGACCAGCTTAGTGACATATTTGGGCTGTCTTCTGTCAGCAGAAGATTTTTCTTAAACCCTACTGTCAGTGTGCAGGAATGCACGGTGATAAGACAGTGAAACTGATGCTAAACCCCAGATGAACCTGTGCCCAAGGAGCCATTAATCTGGAGATTTCTCAAGATGTGAAAGGGAAGTTGTGGGTGCAGTTATTTCATAGGACTCATGCTTTCACCTCTTTTTCTCAACTTGAACAGAGACAAGACATTACAACATTTTACAGAAGGAAGAGCACAGGTGTAAATAATAAAACTAATGAGGGCTGAATCTTTACTTTTATGGATCAAAATGTCTGTTGTGAAAAAGGCCTCCTGCTATGTTCCAGGTGTGATCATTCTCCAAAAAATGTTACAGTCAACATTTACAACTCAGACAAATAGAGATATAAACATATTACACAGTAATCCCATCTGAAACTCAACGTGTATCCAAGTGGAGCTTTTAAAAGTTAAAACCAGAAAATTTTAATTGCTCTGTGCTTGATCCTGAAAAAAAGTGCAATTTTACTGTCTGAGTGTGAAACCAAATCTCCACCTGACTGATGCTGACCTGTGTTTGGATATTTATGATGCACTTGCTGGAAATCAATTAACCCCTACATCTTCTCTCTATTGCCTCCTTGCACAGTCTCCAGAAGCTGTTACTCATCCGGCCCTTAGGGAGAAGAAAAACCACCCAGAGATCAATAATGGCTTAGTGCTGAGCCAGGCACAGGAAGATTCAGTATCACATGATATCTGGAGTCTTTCTCTGGTCTTTGCTGTGAACTGGGTGCATAAAAACAAACTTTTTGTATAGCTTATTTGCATCTCAGATCAGAACTCCTTAGTGATCTCATTGGAAATCTGTAACTAATGATAGGTTTCTATGTAAAACAAAACCATTGGATAAAATAAGCCTGGCTTTGCTCTAAGTACCACCAAATGAAGTGTGAGGCATCAAGAAAACACAAGGGCTGGTATGAGGTTACATTTCCTCTATAACTGCAGGGTGTTTTGTTGCTAAAAAAAAAGCCCTGAACTCAAAGGATACAAGTTAATCACAAGGCTCAAGTTTCATGACTTAGTTTTCATACATAAACAACAAGTAGGGACCAAATTCATTCATAATTAAAATACTAATCTTCCTGAAATATGCATGCTCTAAAACATATGTGTAATCAAATTCAGTCAGTACTATGATTCAGAGCTATTGCTTTAAATTTAAATTGCAGCTTTATTAAAAACAGGAAAACTTCACATCCTCACAGCATACACTCAGAGTGGCTGATTATTGGAGAGGGCTGCCCCCTGGTGGTTTGATAAAGAACTGGAAGAACCAAGGAGCTGAAAAACAAGTCTGTGTAAAAGAGATACTTGTTCTTCACATAAGGTTTTGCTGCCATCTGATGGTTTCTTCTTATACATTAGTGAAGCCTTTATTCTATGTGAGGTTGTCTTTTTGAACAGAGGGGGCAGACTTGTGTCAGATTAATACTTGGAAGAGTTTTTATGAGTTTTATGAGCATTCTTTGAATTGCCCCCAGGGGACAAATAAAGTTTTTTGAATTGAATTGAATAGTTGTGCTTAATTTGATGGTAAGGAACAAGAAGAGAGTTGAGGTGTACAAGGATGTAAAGACACCAAAAAAACTCTAACTATTATTGGAAATATTCAATACAATGCATACAATCTGAATAAGATAGGAAAGTAATATAAAGAGGGGATAAACACATTTTAATGAACTGAAGGAAAAATGTTCAGCTCATTAAATAGAGGTAAACTCTTCCCTTGTGGGCTCATATTTCAAACAAACATCTGTAGTGCAGGTGGTGCTAATATGTTTAAGGTGTGAAGGGTCTAAGCATTGAGCTTTTCTCAGCACTCCTCTCGGCTGCATAGAGGCCAGCTGTGAAGAATGAGAGCCACGCAGAGTTTATGGAAAGAGTTATGGGCAGAGAAGAGGGGCGTCACTGTTGGGCTGCAGATTTATTGTGTATTAATGATCTACACATAACAAAGATGTATAAAGTATTACTATCAATCATATCTTAATTTAATATTTCTGTACAGACTGTCGACATATCATATTTTCTTATATCTTGTTGTTTATACTTTCTGTTCAGTTTTCTATTATTACAAATATAATATACCAGTAATGCAAATCTAAGTGTATTTTATTATGACGTTTGGGGAGTGCAGGTTGTGTAGCAAGACATTAGTAAAAGACTGCAAAAAAAAACATTTGTGAATTAATGGCATGGTGTCAACTATGCATGCAATTTGAAAAATAAAAAAGCCCTAGGATAGTTCTTTGAGGTACACCATGGAAAATCATTTGAACTTCAGTAATGAAACTTACTGAGAAGAATTGAGCAAAAAGAATCATATGCTGGTATTTTATATTAATAATCAAGGCCAAGAACCCTTAAAACATGGATGATGGATGGATAACTTACACCAGACCAGGGACCCGAGGGGTCTGGGGGCCCAAGCAATCTCCTTGCTTCTAGTGTCCCATTTAAAATGACGCTAAACAACATGAAATTAATACAAAAAACATGTATACAGGGATAATTTGATTAAATGATGACTTTAATTATATATGTCTGCTTGAACTAGCAGGCAAAAGTGGGATCCATTGATTTTACTTATTGGTAATATTTTTCCGTACTTCTTCCAATGCCTTTAATTAGTAAACAATAGAAAACGCCCATGGTTTTAGATAGTTATTTATCATCATTACATGTTGTAAGATGTTGTTGTTATCATTGATGTTTAAATCAAATCGGCGAAACCGCGAGAAGGAGCTTTTACGCACAGTGCGTAAAATGCGCACATAAAGGGGCGACGCCTGTAGCCGCAAATGATTGCGATACAGCTGTTTAATATGGAACATGATTGCCCAAATTCACGCCTCAGTAGCCCCACTACGTGATTTGGTATTTGCGTAACATGACCACATTCGGCCCCTCCTCGTTTCTCTCGTTAAAGGGAGAAGAAGAAGCAGCAGCACCGCCCATCCAGCTCCATGTCCGCCTGTTCCCTCCTTATTCTGCTCAGACAGGCGGGCTAAGAGCGGGAGCGCATAATAACACGATAAGGCTCTACGTGAAGACAAACTAAGTGGCGATGGCATGAGCTGTTCTGGGAATCACCTACAAGCCTTCATTTTCAGGCTCGGGTCGCCGGAAACTTGAAAAGAAAAAAGCTACAGCGTCGGAGGGAAGTCATCTAACTCAAAACAGAGGGGCATCTCTTCGGAGCCCTCTGTGGTGAAAACACTCCCCTTACATATCTGTCCATCACCGTGCTTAGGAGTCCCTGACAGGGGCTCAAGACAGGCGGGAAGTTTTGTAGGAAAAGAGCCCGCGCCCAGAGACAGAGGGAGAGCTTTGGTGGGGAGAAGAGGATGGACGCCCTGATCCCTATGCTGAAGAGTTACCCAGGCGCGACAGTGCTGGTATTCGCTCTACTTTTCAGGGTGATCCACCGGTTGCTTCAAAGGATCCCAGTGCCCAAGTTGGTGAAGCAGAATGAACACAGCACCTGGAAGTGGAAGAACCTCTCTGTCTCCATAGTGCACTCCCTGCTGACTGGAACATGGGCCCTGACCTGGTGAGTCTCAATCAAAACATCTGTCTGCCCGTCCAGCTACACTGGGACACCATTGTCCATTCACAGTGCACATGATGTGTTGTGTGTCTGTGAGTGTGAGTGTGAGTGTGTGTGTGCAGCAGTGACAGTCTGTGGCAGCCAGGAAAAGAAGGGCATGTTCAGACAGGGTGAAGGACGGGGGAGACAATGGCATTTAAGTGGGGAGGGAAATGCCACTGTATAGCACTAGCCACAAAAAGATCTTGTTGCTTGTGCTTGTGATTTTGTGCAACAGTGCTTTCAACCTCACTTTCAGCCAACAATCAGGCCTACTGAAGCAACAGCTTGCAGATGTAACAACTGGAAAAACCTGCTGCAGAAAGCATCCTGAGAACCTATTTTTTGGGGGCGGGGATGAGCTTGTGAGTCATCTTTGAACATTAATAAAAAAAGGAAACGAGGTCACTTTTTTTTCAACTGTCTGCATTCTCACATAAATCTTGCTGCTTGTAATCTGAGACAATGTAAATTAAGCACAGATTAACATCTCCTGTTGAGATAAAAGATGGAAATACAGTTCTTGGCACAATCTGAGCAGTGCCAAGTAAACCTGTAGTGCACTTCTTTACATACCACATGAGGACTACAGGTCATTTATTAACAACCATTCAGTTATGGTTCGTTTATACAGGGAGGAGAGGCAGAGATTTTTTTGCTTTTCCAGGTGTGTCCCTTTTGTCAAATAGCAGTAAGAAAATCAAAGAACAATGGAAAATCAGAGCCTATTTAAGAACAAAATAGTTGTTGAATTGTAGACATTTCACTTTTTAGGTGCAACAACAGACAAGGAGTTAAAAGTATTAAAATCAGAACAATGATACTAACTTTTACAACTACTTAAAGGAGGGTCATCTATTAGTTAGGGGTTTAAAAATCCGAAAAACCTGATATTAATGTCTCCGCTGTGAGCCCATGTTTGTCTGAGTGAGGGGAATACACACCCATCTATCCATAACATGTGTCCCTCTCCAGTGTGTTGGTCTGGCCGGAGACGTTGCGCAACCTCCACTCTTACCACACCCCCCTGTCCTACCTGCTCGTCTGCGTCTCAACAGGTCAGTGACTGCATCACGGTTATTGCTGTCATTTGAGGATGAAGAGTTAAAAAAACTACAAATGAAGGTTTTGGTGTGAATAAACATGTTTGTTGTTTTGCATATTGAACATTTATGCGCTTGGGGTTGTCTGTGAGTTTTACAACAGTGTGATGATCTGCCTGAAGTCTTAAAAGTTGCTGCAAAAAAACATTTATTATTGATTAATCTGCAAATTACCTTTTATGTAACCTATTTAACAGTCAGAAACAATGAAATGTGACAGATACAAATTCCCACAATCCATGTAAGTTCTATTTTCTGTAGAGTCCATAACTCAAAGATTTGTCATTATGCATGACAAAGAAAATGACCACATCTTCATATTTGAAAAGCTGAAAAAAAAGTGCTTTGCATTTTTCAAAATGTTCTGTCCATCAATAAGACATTTGCAGCTGTAGTTTGATACATGTTAGGAAAATGTGCTGGGATTATTCTTGATTGACAGCATTTTCTCTTCCCCCCTCCTGTCCTGGGGGGCTTAAACCTGCCACCTTTCCAGTTGTTGCTGTTCAGAGAAACAACCTTCAGATCCGCCCCTCTCACCTGATTCTAAGATCAGACGAATGAGTCGTCTCATCTGAATCACTATGGACACCAAAGACAATCCACTAAGGACTCAGTGGTCTGGTTTTGAGCTGGGTAGTTAGGTCTTATGTGTATCTTAATGTAACCATGAAGACACAAATCTGTGGAGATCTGCCCTAACAACCACATAGCTATAAGGTCCACTGAGGCCAACCACATACTGGAGGTCATGCTCTTAAACACAGGGGAGTGTTGTGTGTCTCACAGCAGCCGCAGCATGCCACTCATACAGAGGCACAAAAAAAAGACTCTCAGTTAATTCAGTGCCTTCAGCTGAAATAATCCCACAGAGTTTAATAACCGTGGTTAATGTTGTGAATTGCTATGTGGGCATCTTTTAAAAATAGGGAACAGATCAAATAAAATATGCTCAATGAGGCTCTGATTAATAAGAAGTGACACACAGGAAGTCTTGCTTTGTCATGTCAGATATTAGACATTAGAGTTGATCTATAGGCATATGCTTAGTTAGCATAAACCCAAAAAGAAATGATGTCACTAAAGCTGCAATGGTTACTCATTTTGATGTCTACTATTAAAACAACCTCTTACCAAGTTCGACATTGATAGTATGAGTATTTTTTAAAGTTAAAATTCACTCACTTCAGCTTCCTAAATGTGAACATGTGGTTTCATCACCACTCCTTGGCAGTAAGCTGGATATCTTTGGGTTGTGGACAGAACAAAACATTTGAGGATGTAATTTTTGGCTTTGGGAGCACTATTGGCCTTTTTTTCAATACATAACACATTTTAAAAATCCAGAATCTAATCAGCATATTGATCCAGTATAATATAATTGTATGTTTCAGCACTGTATGACTGTGTTCAGGTACTAAACTGATTGCAGAAACAGGGAACAAAAAGTGAATGTTGGCTATATAAACAAAAATCCCTTTGGTTAATTCAAGAGATTGATTCCTTGATGGGATCAAATCTCTTTATTTGTCTGATTAATGACATGTTATTATAACAATTTGTCTGTTGGGTGTAGCAGTAACCCAGCACACTGATAGAAACTTCAGATTTGTCTGGTTTGTCAGGTCACACCTGTCTGGTTCACTGTGTCAACCACGTCTTAGCACATCAGTTCACTGGACATTGTTGGGTAACATCACTTCGATGACATGAACCAGCTCTTCTTGAAACCACAGCAATAGCGTCTCTGTCAGTGTCACCACTGCTTCAGGTGCTAGTTTTGACTCTTCAGAAACTGAAGTATTGAGATTTAACATGAAATGTGTATTTGCAAAGTCAACAGGCAGGTGAGAATCTGAGTTAAAATCACAACAAACCAAAAACTAGATCACGAGCGGAGTAAGAACTTTATCAATATCAACCACAAAAATACGACGTAAGGGACCCACTTTTGCATTCATAGCGAGGCAGGATCTTTTAGAGGCTTACTATTAAAATTGGTGCACATTTTTTCCTCGAATAGGGTTCTGCCTCAACAGGCCCTCCCTGAGCTGTAATTAAATCGTTGTTTTTTTTACTTATGTCTCTGCTAATAGAGAATTACATTTCAAACCTTATTCACTTCTGGTCCTCTTCTTGGATGAGTGAATTAAAAGACCATGCACTGAATATTTAAAGATTAGTTTTTACTCTGGTCTATGCATGTTTAAGTGACTGGATAGTTCAACTATCAGCACCTAAAACTATATCAAGCTAATTCATCCTGCAGGCGTCACACCAGTGACAGAGACAGTTTCATTTTCTCTTCCCTCTATAGGATACTTTGTGAACGATGCTGCTGATATTATCCTGACAGGAAACGGAAGAGGATCATGGGAATTCCTAATCCACCATGTACTAGTAAGACATCTTACACAACCTGTGGCCATTTTTTTGTATTTTTTTGTGTATTACTTAAACATCAACATTTTTACAAACTTCAAGGTTGAAAGTTAAACTATTGTTGCTCACTAATCAGGTCAGACTTTAAAATGTATAAACCTTTTAGTCAGAATAACAAAATAATTATAAACCTTTACTCTGTAAAAGAGAGACCCAGAGAGTCTGGATAATCCACATTCCTCACTGTGTAATGAAAGATACTTTCACTTCTAGTGTGTCACGTTAGAAAGGACATTTTTTTTCAGATCTTTTTTCTAATGCTTTTAACCCTGGTTATATAATTAGAGGACCAGGTTAGCTTGATTTAAATGTTGCACATTTAATGTCACACAGACTAGTTAAATTCTTCAAAGCTAATTTGAAGTTCATCTGAAGCCTAAAGAACAGCACAAATCTTCAAACGTTTTGATAATTGATTAAAATGTTTGATTAATTAGGAAAGAAAAGAGTCTAAAGTCTCAGATTTCAACTTCTTATAAGTTAACGTTTTCTGTTTTATTCATAACATCTAAGGTGTTGTGGATGAGAAGACATATGAGCACAATGTCTGGGGAAACATCTGAATGACTATGACCTGATCTGCTTTTAACATCCTGAGACATTTTGACAAATTAATTAAAATACTATAATAATTAAAGGCTAAATAAATACATATAAACAAAGGGAAAATGTAATCTGGTTTATGAAAGCATAAAGGCATTATATATTATTTCAGGAGTCTAGAGCACTCAAAGTATAAGTGGTCCTTTCACATTCAGATCTAACTGGGATTATCAAACATTATGAAAAAGAGCTGGTCAGTAGGGCAGGACAGATTAAGCAAAGATGCAAATAGAGGCAAACAAAGAGGTAATGGTGAAAGGATGTTAGCTGTTCAATATAAACACCTCTGTCACTCTCCTCCTCAGGTGATCTCCAGCTTCACGTACACGCTCTACACACAGCTGTATGTAGCCGGAGCTGTGGTCGCTCTCTTCGTAGAGGTCAACAGTGTGACCCTGCACCTGAGGCTGCTGCTGAAGCTGGCGGGGGCTCAGTCCTCCTCCCTGTACTACTACAACAAATTAGCCAACCTCTTCACCTTCGTCACGTTTCGTCTGAGCACCCAGTTCTACCTCACCTGGTACCTTGTCACCAACTACTCCTGGCTGGACAACGCCACATACTTTCTTATCGCTATGATTGTGATGAACGTCATGATCCTGATTTATTTCTACCGCCTGCTCCGCGCTGACTTCTTCTCCTCGAGGAAGAGCTCTGTGGTGCAGAACGGGACGCACAACAACTCCAGGAAGTTCCTCACTGATTGATCACCAGGTTTACAGAACTATATTATGATTTTTGTTTGGGGTGGGAGTTTACACATTTTGTCTTTCTCAAGCTTTATGTGACACCGTCTTATGACAGCAGGTCCACTTGTTCTTGCTGCCAAAGAACAAACCTCCAAAACAAAGCTTGGTGGCACCAGGTGGCAGTCAAGTGCTGCCTTTAAGAGATGTTTGAAAAGCAGGAAATGTGTCTTTTCATGGGGAAGAATACCAAAAAATACTGCTCTAATTAAAGTCTTAAATTCAGAAGACATATTAATCCTCTTAGATGTTACCATTTATAGCATATTTACAATTTATTATCAGGTTGTGTCCTTTAAAAATGCCTCATTAAGAGGCTATATACTTTTTTGGAAGATTGATACGGTTTTATATGTTTGTGGAATAAAAAGGAAGCTACATTAGGCTAGTTAGCTTAGTGTAGCATTAATCTTATGAAACAGATCACACAGCTAGCCTATATTTGTCCAATGATCAGAAAAAATATCCTTTGAACACTTTGTTCAAATTGAACCAATTCTACATGTCATACTAATCAGAAAGCTGCAGCCATGCTGGAAGGAAAAGCTGAATGCTAAAAAAAAAAGAAAAACTAGCTTTATCGTTAGGATACAAGAATGATTTCAAACATCTCAAATCTTGCAAAAAGCAAATAATGTCCAACTACTCTATTAGTGCATACAAACCTGTGTGATTAATAGTTCAACAAACACATTTAAAATATGAGATAACATATAGCAGTTGCTAACAGCTAAGTACCTCGCTACATGTTGCCATATCTTAATATTTACATGGGGAGCAGTGTTTTTATGTTAACCCCTACCTCTCTCCCTCCCTTTCTCCCTGAGTGTGCGAACGTCTTGACAGCAGCATCTTCTGACATTGGACTTTGAATTTGAATGTGTTCATTTTCATGTTCGCTCTCTTGGTCTGTATGATGCCTTTGATGGCTGAGAAGGTATTGAGCTTTCACAAAATGTTGCATAGAAGTCGTCATGGACCAATTTGACTGTTAAAATAGCCGAGACTGCAGAACAATAATGCTCCTCTAATGGCCTGTTATCTGTTTTTGACACAAGTAGGGCTGAAGCTGGTTCTTCCTGCCATCTGATCATTGAACTCATGAGGAGCAGGCAGCAGCACAATCAGTACTGATACTGCTTTCATGTAGACTATTAGTCAAACAACATGGACCTTTTATGCTTGTTTTTGAATGATTAATACCTTAACACAATAGTTGTTTTTTGATATATTGAATGATGGCCTTCTAAATACGATAGTTTCTTCCTCTTTCCCCAACAGTGGACATGGATTTGTCCTCAAGTGTGAATCCTTTTTTTTTATAGCCTACATATATTTCACTTTGTTATACAAATAAACACCATTATTGGACTTAAAATTTCCCAATCATGACAGAAATTTTAAGTGCGGACAGTTTCATTTGAAAACCCAATGATCTCATTTTCAGTCAACGCCAAGAAAGTTAGAGCGACATGGACGGAGTTTAGATGTGTCTGTTTCGTCATTCAGTGCCTTAACCGCAGTGCCTTTAAAAAACATCAGCAAAACAGGGATAACGATAATGATTAAATGTTTTATTATTCAGGATGATAGATGTATGATTTAATGAAAGCCAAGCCACATAGAAAGAATACTGCTGCACAATTTTTACCACAATGATGTAAAACATGTCAAAGTTATGACTGATGTTTTTGTAGCCCTAATGTTTGTGGCTGGTTATTGATACCATGAAATAAAATTTGTATTTAAAATAGCTGAGTTGATGTTTATTTTGTAATGCTCTCTTTTCTGATGAGTGGATTTTTATGAGTTCTTTCTTTGTTTTAAATTCATGTTATCACATTCATACTTGACAGTCATTGGGTAAAACCATAGTCAGATATTTTTATTGATATAAAAAAAATATATTCTTGATAAAATATAGGTTACCTTAAGAGTGAAAAGTAAAAGTACTCACTGCAAAGAAATGGCCACTTTCATTATTATATCATAGGCTGTTATCAGATTTTTTTAATCCTGAGGAACTGATGTGTAAGCAACATGTTTTGTATCTGGTCAGAACGAGATGAAATAAGATTATTTATATAGCCTTAAATTGTTTTGAAAATTCTTAATCTCTGTGTAGTATGTTGTTATACAACGACAGGCTTTCAATTCAATTCAAGTGTTCATGCTTTCAAAACTTCAGTTAGGCTATAGTATGTATTCAGGACTTTTACCTAAAACAAGATTTCTATAGTGAGGGGTTCGCACTTTAATTTTAGTAAAGCATTTGTGGCCTGTTGAGGTTGAAACCATAGACAGTAGCTGTGTCCCATTTACAGTGTGGTTGAAACCCAGTGCAGATACAGTGTTAGAAACCACGTTGCCAGGCAACGAGGAATTCAGAAGTGATTAGAGCGCCCTCTGTAGTCCACATCCATCTAAAAGTGAAGTGAAACAAACAATATAAAACTATTCTTTTATTCTTTATTTGAAAAAAAAACAGATCATAAAATATTTTCCAGATAATTTTCCAGAAATGGTAGGCTGTATGAATAACTCTGAGACTACTATTGGCCTAACTTTACTTTTTTGCTTTTCTTCCACAATCAGGATATATAGATAGATAGATAGATAGATGGATGGATAGATAGATAGATAATTCCTCATTTCCTCCAGCAGGGGTCCCAGCTGAGGAAGCGTGTGAGGAAAAGAAAAGAACACGATCCAGGGATCTGAGTCAGCAGGCGGCAGCGGGTCCTGAGCTGAATCCCCTCCACCACGACTCAACTTCCGTGCGTCGACTTCAGCTCTGTTCGCCCCGAAAGAAAAAAAGCTTGAATAAAGGATAAAGACTTTAACTGAGTTTACATCACACTAACAACCATCTGTGGAAGGAAAAAAAAACCCCGAGCTGAAAACACAGAAGAGAGAATAGGAAAAGTTGAGCGCACCGTCCTAACTCGTCGTTGTTAAGGTAACATCTTTACAAAGTTTAACTATGGGGGGTTTTACTCGCCGTTTTATAACTGGTGAATTTACTCGTTTTTTTGGTGTATTGTCCCTTCACGGGCTCCGTACTTTTTATCATGTGTGGGTTTTTTTTTTTTTGACGAGATGAAGTGGTTTTTTCCCCGGTGTTAATGTTGGAAATGCGACGTCTCGGCTGTGTGATGGCTTAGTCCAGTAAATGAGTCTTCTTGTGGTTTAGCAGGAGCTTTGATGAACAATAGGATTATAACAGGACTACACAGTAAGTGGATCAGGACTCGTTACTATCGTCTGGCCTGACTCTGCATGTGGTCCGGACCTACACAAAGATAACATACATTGTATCTCTTTATTTCTAAACTGTTCCGAGTCGGATCTCTACTCAGAGGTCTTTTCATTCACAGACTGCCTTAGCCTGAAACGACTGAGGTACATGTGTTTGTGTTTCGTGGGTAGGCTGCAGTGTCCTGGTCGTGTACCGAAATAAAAACATTGTCTACAAAGACTGCGAGATGACTTGCAGTAGATCAACACTAAAAGAAACAAATGAATAGGCCTAGGTTTGCAGGATATGGATTTCATAAAGGAGTAAGATATCTCTAGGCCAGGGGTGGGCAACTGGCGGCCCCCATCAACCCTCAGCGTGGCCCTCAGGTTCATTTTTACATATCAATTAATTAGAAACATGATGAAATCTGCCATGAAATCATGACAACCAGAAATATGTACATAATAATATTTGATCACTGGTATATGTTGAGTTAAATTTGAGACATAATTGACTGTAATCGTTTAATTTTGGCCCTCTGGCAGTGAGAATTAAATGAATGTGGCCCTTGCTGTCACCAAAGTTGCCCATCCCTGCTGTAGGCTATCGTCTTTTTCTCACAGTCTACATGTTTGTATTTAAAAAAAAAACAAGTGTACAACCTGTAGTTCACCTTAAGTAGCCTAAAATAAAAGGCTAAGATTATGGCAAATATGGATGACGAGTTATTGATTTAGTTTAATTCTATACGTCTTCTAATAGAATAAGACATCGATCACAAAGACAAAATATCAAAGTGTGAAACTCAAACATTGGATTGTTTGAAAAATGATACGCTGCAAATGATTTTGAAGCTGACGTGTTTCAAAACAAGTTGTGATAATGGTTACCAAAGACTGGAGAAACAGCTAAATGCTTTTAAAACATCCAACAGTTAATAAAGTAAACTAGCAACAGGTTAGTCATGTGATCAAGTATTAAAAGAGCATCTCGGAGAGGCTGAGTCTATCTGAGGTAAGGACGGACGTGACATAATATCTAAATCTCTGTACACAAGGCTAAAAACCAACGATGGGTGGCTGTGAGTAAAAGAGTAAAAGATAAACTGGCCTTCCTGCAGTCCCAACTTGTCACACATTGAAAGTGTTTGAAGCAGTATAAAGTGTCAAATAAGAGAGACGGTGAACTGTTGAAGAGCTGAAACCCAACAAAATGACAAAAGTGAGGCAAAGAAAAAGTGATTCAACAGAGGGGCAAACATGACCCTGTTCAAAAATGTTTGAAACATGTTGCTGGCATTAAATTCAAAATGGGCATTTACTTTTCCAAAGCCAGTTAAAATTTCTCAGCTTCAACATTCAGTATGTTGCCTTTGTGCTATTCTTTAATAAATGGGTTTCAGTGATTGAAAAAGCATCACATTCAGTCTTTATTTACATTTTACACCACATCCCAACTTTATTGGATTTATTGTTGTGTAGTTTGTTTAGGTTCCGATCTTAATTCGTTTATGTTTTTACGTGTGTAACTACAAGTTCATGTGCTGTGAATCCATGCATCACAATTCATAGTGCCAGTATAGATGGGTGTTTAAAATACTAAAAAAGAAGAGACTGCACAAAAAAACAGGAACTGAACACTAAAAACGTGAGCTAAGAAAGAGCTCAGATATATTATGGAAACTCTATTTATCTTAAACTCTTCCTATCATGATCCAGAAGGTTTCTGTTGACATGACATGTTTGATAAAAGGATGAACTTAATGTGGTTAAAATGTGAGATTGTCTCTGTTTCTCTTTGTCCAGCTACCTCGTGTCCTCTGCTAACCAATCGCCCTCCAGGCTTCATGTCCGTCCGGGTTTCAGCCATGAGTGTTCTTCCTCCTGTCCGACGGGACCGCGTCATCGCTCAGCTCCCTCAGGTAAAGTCCCAGACGATTACTGCCTGATCCCCTCGTAGAGTAAGAGACTGGACGGCCTCACAGATTCCTCTTATTTGATCGTAGTGTTTCAGGAAAGAGGCCGCCCTGCACACTAAAGAGGAGTTCAACAATAAAGTGAAGACTGCCTGCCAGGAGCAGCGCACCGGCACTGTGGGGTGAGCTCAGAAACCTGGAGTTAATGGACATGGTGTTTTTAAGTCACTGTGTTATTTACTGTTTACTTCTTCTTCTTCCTTTTTTTTTTTTATCTTAGCAGATTTAAAATCTCCAAGGTCATTGTGGTGGGCGACCTGGCTGTGGGTAAAACCTGTCTGATTAATAGGTAAGCTCAGGACGACGTCTAGCTAATAAGTAACAATCACAAGAAAGAATGTGAACCTGCTACAAGGAAGCACAATCCTCAAACTTCATAATTTAGACTTTCTGGGATGTTTATTTTTATTTGTGTAATCCTGTGAACACACAGAGAGCTGCACTGAAACACATGAACCTCTTTTCTGAAGTAATAACGTGTAGACCAGTGCTGGGCATTTCCCACAACCCCACGATACGTTTCACGATACACAGGCCTCGATACGACATTGATTTTGGATAATGACCATGTCCTTCACAGAATTCACCACAACAGCTGTTCTTTATCGTTGAGAATAACAGCAGAGGCATATTAAGGATCCTGCACCTTCAAACACTTCAGCTCAGGTCCTCAGAGATCCTAGAAAGACATTCAAATATTTGAATTCCAGAGCTATAGCTAAGATGTTTTAGTCAGCTCCACCATAGATCCATTGTCTTTCCAAACTGTCTTCATGCATGTTCTGCAGCCATATCCATTCTGAAACATCTGCATCGATGCATCTATTCATTTAAATGTAAGGAGCACATATTGCCTCATCGATTGTTTTAGCACAGCCCGAGTGTAGACCAGCTAAAAGCCTGCCTGCTGGGATTGACTGTACTTTATAGCTGCTTAAATAAACAACACACCACTTCTCTGCAGATACAGAGGTTAGCTCATGCTTCTTATATCATCAGTTATAAAACCCCACTGAATGGTTCAGTCGTGACGACGGAGAGGAAATCTCTTTTTATGAGTCAGTAAGATGTTTGAAAGGAAATCTTTTAGGATGGAAACGTTTTGCCTTGAAGCCTAAAAACAGCTGTTTTCTTTAAAAGGTTTGCATTTCTCACAGGACAGGTCCGTCACTACAGAAACACAACGGTCTTCAGTGACACAGGCCGCATCGTTAGCTCTGTTTAAACTTTATTCTTATAGGAAGGTCTTTATGAACTCTGAAATGATCTGCTATTTCTATCTGCTTTCTACTCCTTATGTCTGTTTTCCTGTGTTCTTCTTCTTTGCTTTCTATTTTTTATCACTCTCTATCTTTATGAAGCTCTTCGTAATCGTGTTCAGAGAAGTACGTTATCAATAGAGTTTACTTTTATTATCATTACAAAGTTAAAAAAAGAAATGGCACAACCTCAGTGACTATAGCAGTAAAATGCAGCAAACACATTTAAGCAGCTTTACTAATAGAATCCATGACTGTGGTATTATTCTGAAGGAGAC